TTGAACCAAAACAAGGAGAAAAAGATATTCATGGGAAAGTTTTCTTCCCATGTTCATCTAGCTTGGAGAAGAAATTAAAAGAGAAGAAACTCGAAACATATTGTCGAGTATTTCTGCAGGATAACAAGGTGGAGTGATTTAAATTTTTTTAAGAGACTATCTTTTGATGTAGAGGTCACCCAAATAAAACCACCAAATTACATGTAAATGCAGAAATCAAATTTTGAAAATTATCCTGAGCATGGACATGTGATTCTCAATAAAAAAAAGGTGACATCCATATAGAAATATTCCTCAATTTGATCTGATTTCTGCCTATTCTTCATTTTTTTTTGTGCAGGACCATGTTGAGGCAATGGGTGCGTTGGCCACTAGATCGAAGGTTTCCTATATATGAGAAGATAATAAAAGGAGTTTTGTTGCAATGGAATTTGTGGCACTATCCAGGGGTGGCACTAAATCAAGGGTTGACCATACCGTATTTGCATTTCAGACGGTAGGATGCAGAATGTGCTGAAGTTGATAGAAATCCCGACTGTGCCGAAGAGCACGTGTGAAGAAAAGCTCCGCGATACGCGATTGGGACCAAGATTCAAACTACATCCTAGCTTCATTTGTGCTGGTGGTAATGGAATTGATGCCTGCAAAGTAAGTAGAAGCCTATACTTTCTCTTCATCTTACCTTTTTTTCCAGATTTTCGTTGATGATGCACAATCTCAGAGAAATGTCTGGAATGTTTATACGGGTAGACCGACGTTCCCGGTCATCGTGGTTAGACTGTTCAAGTAAATTGTTTTGTAAATATCTTGCTATGGGGAAGTTCGAATCCACTTTCTAAAAAACATGTTTTCTGCTTGAAAGCGATTTCAATGTTTTCTCGGCCACCTTTAATGATCCTGAAACGAATTACAGTATTCTAAACTATGCTTTAGCATACTTCTGCGGTTGCAGGAAAAAATCGAAAATGTAAAAACTTATCTTTCAGGCTATTCTAAACCTATTGCGTAAAAATTTATGAATCCGCATTCTATTGACGCGCTTTAGGCTTTTCTCGTTTTTCTTACCATTGTCGAATGAGGTTGTGCCATTTTCAAAAAAAAAACAAAATAAAACATTAGTTTAAACCTTGAATTAAAGTTGGGTAAGATGTATTTTGCATATTTCAAGCTCTGAACAAAAGTTTTCTCAAACTTGTTGTGTATGTTGTATATATGAAGCAAGATTATGTCCCCTTAAGCTAATAAAAATAATTGTAGATAAAGGACAATGTTTAATTTTGAGGAAGCTGCAGGTTTAAGTAAATTAGTTTACCAGGCAATTTGGGCATAAATCATACTGTTGATTATTCGAATGAGATTCAACCATTTGAGTATGCTTTTGAAGCATTTTAACCCTCTGTCAAAAATCTCATGCAAGAGCTGCAAGTATTGTCAGAATTTTACTGATGTTTCCCGCAAAAAGGAAGAAAGGAACAGAAATGCGTAAAGTTGAGTCACCTCATTTGAAATTCACCAGAGAAATTCCATTCAAAAATATGACCGTAGAATGTGTTCGAAAAACTTCGCGATAACAGACGAAAGAAGAAATGTGTAGATTTTTTTTCCAGATTTCAAATAATTCTATATGCAGCCTCAACATGCCCAGACGAAGCTTCATTATTCTGTTCGTACTTCGTGGTATTTTCCATAAGAACTGGATTGTTTCTCAAGGCATTCAGATATAAATTATATTGCTGTGAAGCCATATCACCTCTAAAGCGTATTTTGAAAATTCGATACAATACAGCGGTCATTCCGTCAGCAAAAAACTCTTCACTTCTTGCTGTCGTTCTTTATATAGAAAATCAAACCGTGTCGATCGTCAGTGGATTGAATATATAGACAAGCCCATTTTTTTTGTTACGTATTGATGCTCATGCGAGCTGAGAAATGAATTCTTTTTCAATACTTAGAAAAGTATTAGGAATAATTCGGAATAATTCTCCTCTTCGACCGTCTCTGCAAATATTTTGTGCTTCTGAATGACGGATTATGAATTAGTTCGAAATCACGGGCACAATTTTCGCGCGCATAAAAATGTTTAAAAATAAATTAAAAATGATGATTTATTCAAGAGTTCCTTGCTGCTTAAGACACTGAAAGACAGTGATATTTAAAATGTGTTCTTATGCTCTGTGTCGTGTCATTTGTAGCAAGAAATATTTTGGGACATTCAGACTTGAAAACAGTTCTTGAAAAAGCTTTTTATTCACATAATTTGCGCAATGTTATTTGGATATTCAAAGTTTTTTGAAAATGTTTTTCTTTAAATTTACACTGTTATTTGCCCATCAGAGTTTCTCTAGATAATATATTTTATTTATTTTAAAAATGTGTTTTTATATGTGCACTACTGCACTGTTATTTGTCCCTCGGAGTCTCCCTATAAATTTTACACCTACATTATTCTTGTTTCATTTTATTTTTCAGGGAGACGGAGGTAGTCCACTAGTGTGCCCATCGCTCCACACCGGAAGCGACGTTCAGTCCATCCGGTATGTGTTGACTGGGCTCGTAGCTTGGGGCATTGGTTGTGCTGGGATCCCCCCAGGCGTTTACGTGAACGTGCCGTACTTCATGCCTTGGCTTGAGCCTTTCTTGAAGGAATACGACCCCGGATACGATTATTTCGGTCATTCATGAGAATAATTGACTTGTTTACACAGTGCACTGCGTATTCTCACATTTTGGACTGATTAAAACGCCAAGAAAATGAATCGATCTCGTAGGTGAGCGTTTTCATAATTTTATTTCCTCTCAAACTATCGCTGCCAGTTCGCTGAAATTTAAACTGTAATGCGTACGAGGGTTTTCCCAGTGTTCATTTGACGCGATCTCGGGTATTCTTTGAGTACGTGTAATTATAAAAAAAATCACGACAAATAGCCCATCTTATTTTAGTGTTCTAGAATTTTTTTCAGATTTTTAAAGGTTTTCAATCTACTGCATGATGAGTGAAAACTTCTTAGTTGCCACCAGACCATGTTTTAGGTGGCTAAAAATTTGTCAGGCTAAAAAATATCCATTTATTTCTTGCGTCAATCATTCTCTAAAATTTAGAAACGACAATGGGTAAAACAAAACAACAAATTAAACTTTTAGCCAGCCTGAGAGACTTTAGCACCCCGTGCCACGGGTGGAGAACTCTGAGAGTAACTGCGATTTGAATTTATCATGCGGTAAATTAGAAAAAAATGCAAGACTTGCTCAGCTTTTGTTCGTCATTTAAAAAATCAAACCATGTCGATATCCCGCAAATTAAGTACAGAGAAACACTTAGTTAATTAGTTACTTGACACGCATGTGAGCTGATAAATGAATTATTTTCAGCACTTCGTCACGTGTTTGGAATAATTTTCCTCTTCGACCCTCCTTTATCATATGTCCTTCAGGATGACTCATTATGTATTGAATTTTGTTAAAGAAGATCAAGTGAACAATTTCAGGTTTCTTTTCAAAGTCATCTCTTACAAAATTCATTGAAATTCAAAAAAATTTAATTTTGTGCGAGCTTAAAATAGCGTGCGTTGATGGATCTGAAAAATTTCACTGTCTCCGAATGCTACAGCATCAAACTTTTAACTTACAAACAAAATCATCAAACATATGCGTCTCTCTCGTGTACATAATAATCCAATTTTGGTCATCGAAGACGCCTTGGAGACGTAGTGAATGTGACATTGACGATCCCAGAATTGATTGACTCGTCTGACTTGAATACGACTGACATCAGTGAGGTCGAGCTGACAAATTGTGCAGGTCCCCGTTGTGAAAGTACGTCACCTCGAAGAGTTGCTATCAAATTAGCAGTCGGTGAACAGTTGTCTCTCAGCTGAAACACAGAACAACTTGTTCAAAGAGGAATGCGGAAAAAAAACATTGGGTTTGCATTCCATTGAAATTGAATTTCATCGGGCATCATATAGCTAAATATAGACACAGAACAATTCCGGAATTCGAAATGATCGGACACCAAATGAACCAATCAATCCATTTTTCATCAATA